GAGAGAGAGAGAGAGAGAGAGAGAGAGAGAGAGAGAGAGAGAGAGAGAGAGAGAGAGAGAGAGAGAGAGAGAGGACAGCCACGAAGACTGCCGACGGGCGAGGGCGCGGCCCGCGGGCCGCGGGACAAGTGGGAGGAGGAAGAGGGGAAGAGCAGGAGGAGCAGCGGGAGGAGGAGGAAGAGCTGTCAGGGCAGGGAGGTCGCAATCGGGGGAAGTAGAGGTTGGGATGGAGATCGGAGAGGGGAGTTGGGATCGGGGGAAAGAGGTGGGGATCGATGGGGGAAAGTGGGGGGAAGGAAGCCGGAATGGGAAGGGAAGTCACCGGACGGAGGTCGGGGGAGGGAGGTCAGAGGAGGGAGTTGGGATCGGGGGAGAGAGGTGGGGATCGGTGGAGGGAAGCCGGGATCAGGGGAGAGGTGGGGATCGATGAAGGAAAGTTGGGATTGGGGAGAGAGGTGGGGATCGATGGAGGGAAGTAGGGGGAGGGATGCTCGGATGCAGAACGGAGTCGACGAAGGGAGGGTGGGGGAGGGAGGTCGGCGGAGGGGGATCGGAGTAGGGACGTTGGAATAGGGACGTTGGAGTAGGGACATCGAGAGAGGCAGGGGAGTCTGGATGGGAAGGGAAGTCGTGGGAGGGGGGTCAGTGCAGGGAGGGAATTCGGGATGGGAAGGGGGGTCTGTCCACGGAGGGAAGTCGGGATGGGAAGGGGGGTCGGGGGAGGGGAGTCTGGGAATGGAGGTCGGCCACTCGGTGGAGGGAAGTCGGGGCAGGGAAGTCGGTGCAGCGAAGCCGGGGCAGGCAAGTCGAGATGGGGAGGGAAGTCGGGGGAGGGAGGTTGGCGGAGCGAAGTCTGTCGAAAGAAGTCGGGGGAGGGAGGGGGACTGGGGACATGGGGGGGTTGAATCGCGGGGAGGGAGGGGGGAATAGGAGATGGTGTGGCGGTGTATATTTCCATCACAAAAAAAGAAGAAGAAAAAAAAAGGTCTGGCGGTGTGTATTTCCATGTTCTAGCGGGAGATCCGTTCGATTTTGCTCATCCTATCGATTCAAGTACCCTCTCTCTCTCACACACACACACACAATATTTGGAAAATAAGCCCCCCCCACAAAAAAAGGACACTCTCTCTCTCTCGTCCCCCCAAAAAAAGGAGACATTCTCCCTCTCTCTCTCCCCCCCCCCAAAAAAAAAGGAGACATTCTCCCTCTTTCTCTCTCTCTCTCTATACTTCCATCGATAGGATGAGCAAAATCGAATGAATCTTTTGCTCGAACATCGAAATATACACTACTACGCGCCGGTGTGTGTGTGTGTGTGTGTGTGTGTGTGTGTGTGAGATAGATAGATAGATAGATAGATAGATAGATAGATAGATAGATAGATAGATAGAGAGAGAGAGAGAGACTTCAGGGGGGAGTCAGATTGCTGCCAAGGGGAAACAGCAGAGGCAAAGAATGGGCAAGTTAAGTTGCAGAAGGATCCGGTAGCCGAAACCTCCTAACAGTAACAGAGCAGGACCTCAGCCTGACACCATAAAACATGTAACTGCAGTTATTGTTTTAGAGAGAGAGAGAGAGAGAGAGAGAGAGAGAGAGAGAGAGAGAGAGAGAGAGAGAGAGAGAGAGAGAGAGAGAGAGAGTCTCCTTTGTTTGTCATCGTCCTTCGCTGGGTCCACTTGTAGTAATAATAATAATGATGATGAATGGCTGAAACAGAATCAAAGTCCGAATGCCTCTTCTACTGCTAGGCATAACTAGAGGTCCACCATAGCCATGGCCTCGTTCCTCTTCAATCAGGCCGGGGCTATGGCGGACTACTAAGGACATAGCCCTGCTGTGCAAAAGACAACGCAAAGCAGCTATGTCCACTGCTATTCAGGTCGCCATGCCTGACTCTGCGTTGAAGCCTTCTTGGTGAGGCGCTACCCCAACTGGGGCCTTCCAGATGCAGCGCCTAACAAGGTGATGAAGATGGCGTCCACCATAGCCAGGTAAGTACCTTGCCACTCTCCTTCCTAGTCCCCTTCTTCCTTTTCCTCCTACCAGTAGGTAGACCTCCACCATAGCCAAGGTGGAAGCTCCCGGTCTCCTTCCTCCTAGCAGCGCTGTAATGGCCAGCACTCCTCCTCCCACAAGCGCTCTGAAGTCCAGCGCTTGCTCCAGCAGTACGTCGCCTAAACTTGCATACTGCAAATGAGGAGGAGCACTTCGCTCCTCCTGGAGATATAGCGGCCTACCTGCCTCTTGGGCGGTGACTTCCAGGCCGCGTGGCCTCCAAGCAACCGGTGGGTACCTCCTCCCTTTCGGAGGGAAGCATTGTTGCAGGCTCTTATATCATCCGCACAGGCCCTAGACTCGGGCTGCTTGGACTGGTACCCGCCAAGACCTAGCCTACCAGCTACTGGGCGTCTAAAAACACTAACCTTTTGTCTTCTTCTGCTCGGCCTCCAGTTCCCGACAGATCTACCGCTACTTGAGCGGTACCGGCCT